AAGCCGTGTGGGATGCAGAATAGGGCTTTGATGAAGGGGTCCCCTCTTGGCTCTTTTCCACCCCAGTGGAGTAGTAGTGTATGGATGTGAGAGTTGGATGATAAAGAAAGTTGAGCACTGAAGAACTGAGGCTTTTGAACTGTGGTGCTGGAGAAAACTCTTGAGAGGCCCTTGGACTGCAAGGAGATCCAACCAGTCCATCCTAAAGGAGATCAGTCCTGAATATTCATTGGAAGGACTGATGCTGAAGCTGAAACTCCAATNAGCTGTGATATCCAGACTTTTCAAGATTTGGGGGTCACCTCTGATTTCAAATCAGGAAAGGTCTCAATCTATGGTTGAAAGGCGAAAAAAAAAAAATATCTTGGGACCATGAGCTACTGGCAGCTCTGAATTCTGCTTGATTTTGTTCCCAATGGAGGAGAGAGAGCAAGGTGAATCCTTGTGTGTTTGCTGATTACGGCCAATGGGGCATGGAGGGTAAACAGGGAAAACACAGCTACGTGGCTGGAATTTATCATCTTTCACCTCCTTCTCTTTTACCCATGAATGCACACAGCTCCCTCAACCCCTGGATGGGAGGCACCTAGTTCTGTGGAATCTGTGACTCAGAATGACTGTATCTATGTTAAAGATAATGATGAAGAAGGCAAGCATCCTGGGCAGGGACTCTGGATCCCAAAGGAGGAGCTTCTCATCTGCCTGCCTCTCCTAAAATCACTGCCACTCTTCTTTGCCAGTTGGTTGGGGGCTGGATGTTGGGGGTGTGGGGTGGGGAAGTATTGGATCCAGGATGAGAGTTGGGAGGGCTGGGCCCACCCCCCAGCTTTGCCCTTCACCTTCTGCATGACTTCAGGCAAAACCCTTCCTTGACCTGGGGCCCAAGTTTCTCTACATCCCAGTAGGAGCAGAACTGGCTGATCCCTGGATAATATCCATCATGAGGCTTGAGGACAACTCCTACAGCCTCTGAGCACTCTAGAGCTGTAAAGCAAGGACATCAGGGGAGACAGATGCCAAGATGATGTTGGCCATCCTGCATCTCCTGACCCAAAGGGTTCCCCAAGCTATCTCGTGAAAACATGCTGTGCCCTCTGGTACACTGGCCAAGCAAGGTCCTGGCTCTCGCCAACATTCTTGTGTCAACAGCCTGTTTCCAGCAGTGGGTGTGCCCCAGCAGGAGCCCACAGACCCTGGGGGAGGTTGTAGAGTTTGCACTTACTTAGGATTGGGCTGGGGACCCAGGCAGAGCAGTAGGTTGTTGGCCCTGGATCCCCGATCCGCATGTGCAGGAACCTGCAAACACAGCTGCCCTCTCCCCCCAACCCCCAGCATCATCTCCCCTCTTAATCCCCCAGCCTCCAAAAACATGATGATCACTGGTGTCCTTCAATTATCTGCCAAGAGATCTTGGCAAGTCACTGAGAAGACTCAGTTTTCTAATTGGAAAAGCGAAGGTTACAATCACATAGATGTCACAGGGTATGTCGATGGCAGAAGGTCATTTCTGTGGAAGTGATTCATTGAGAGTCTTACGCACATTCATTATCTTTATGATGACAGAGTGTCATTAGGGCAACACCCTAGGAGAGGGAGCAAACAGTGAAAGTGGATTCTGGGGTTCTGCTCCGGGGATGGAGGGGCACGATGCTTCCCTGGGGGTCCACACCAAGATGATAGCCTACCATCCCACCTCGCAGCCTAGGAAGAGCCCTGGGAAATGACCCACCCTGTGGACACCTGCTCACCCAGTATCATCTGTAACTGACGTGTCCTCTCTGGTCCAATCCTCTCCACACCCCTGGACGTGGGTCTATGGGAATCCTTATTTCACAGAGGAAGAAACTGGAAAGGACTTGTCCCAGTGATGCAGCGGAGTTGGTACAGCAAGAATTTGAACCCTGGTTGGTGGTCCTTGCCCGGCTCTGAGCCACCATCAGTTGGAATTGTTGGGTGCTGGAAGTGGCCTGGGGAACAGCCCACAGAGCCTGCCCTGCTGGCTTGTTCCCCAGAGAGAACACCCAGTGCTCAGCTCATCCCCACCTGCAACATCCTGCAAGCTTTCAGAAGGGACAAGCTGAGGGCTCAGTGGCCCCTGCCCTCTGCTCAGGCAGCACCCACACCCAGCCCTGGTATTTCCCCCAGGCCCCATGTCTGAGTTTGGGCATCTCGGACAAATTAGTCGCCAGCTGCCCTACTCCATCCTAAAGGAAATCAGTCCTGAATATTCATCGGAAGGACTGACGCTGAAGCTGAAACTCCAATACTTTGGCCACCTCATGCGAAGTGTTGACTCATTGGAAAAGACCCTAATGTTGGGAGGGATTGAGGGGAGGAGGAGAAGGGGACAACAGAAGATGAGATGGTTGGATGGCATCACTGACTCAATGGACATGGGTCTGGGTGGACTCTGGGAGTTGGTNTTTCTTGCCTGGAGAATCCCATGGATGGAGGAGCCTGGTGGGCTACAGTCCACGGGGTCGCAAAGAGTCGGACACGACTGAGCGACTTCACTTTCACTTTGAGTAAAAGTAGCCAAAATAGCCATTTTATTTGGGTAAAATAATGGGTGAGGATCTTGTATCTTGCCTAAAGTTTCTGAGACTGAGTCCATTTGCAGAGTTGTCGCAAGGTTGCGTGCCTGTGAATGCTCAGTCGCTCAGCGTGTCCGACTCTTTGTGACCCTATGGATTGTAGCCTGCCAGGCTCCTCTGTCCATGGGATTTCAGGCAAGAATACTGGAGTGGGTTGCCATGCCCTCCTCCAGGGGATCTTTCTGACTCAGGGATAGAACCTGTACCTCCTGCACCTCCGGCATCTTAGGTGAATTCTTTTCCACTGAGCCAGTGGGGAAGCTCGTTACAAGGTGACTCTGGCCTCAAATACCCAGGAGCACCAGATGGGGAACTCAGAGATGTGACCTGCGTAGCTCTTACCTGACAGGTGAAAATTTCTCAGAGGGTGGTCCTTGGGCCTCTATCAGAACCACTTTGGGGGAAATGGTTGTTGGCGGGGGAGGGGGCAGCAAGGAGCCTTGTTAAAAACGTGAGTGAGACAAGACATAGTGTCTTGCTCGCACGTAGACAGAAATTCTCTTGTGTTGATTTACATATGGAAACTTCCCGAGAAGGATTTTCCCTGGTAGCTCAGATAGTAAAGAACGTGCCTGCAATGTGGAGGCCCTGGTTCAATCTATCCCACTCCAGTATTTTTGCCTGGAGAATTCCATGGCCAGGGAGACTGACGGGCTCAGTGCATGTGGTCGCAAAGAGTTGGACACGACTGAGCGACTAAGCTTCCTGAGAGATGTACTGCAATCAGACTGTATCTGTTGAGTCTCTACTGGCTTCTTTGGGGAAGAGAAAATGAAAACGTGCCATTTCTGAAATTCATTGATTGTTGCCATCCTTGTTTGTGTGGCTCTGCATGTTGCTAAAAACAAATGATGGGAGTCTTTTGTCAATGACTCAAAAAACAAAAAACCCACAGATGAGAACCAGGAATCTGTTTTTCTGAGCAGGGGTTGTGGGTTGAATTGTGCTGTTTCATATATATATATAGAAGTCTTAATCTCCAGCATCTCAGAATAAAATAGGTTTGTTGCAGATGTAATTGGCTAAGACCAGGTCATGCTGGAATACCATGGGCCACAATGGGGTGTTACCATTGTCCTTATGAGAAAAGGAGAAGGGACACAGACCCACAGGCAATATGACTGTGTGAAAATGGAGAGATGCAGGGAGACCATGAGATGCACAGGAGAGACGGGAGGGATGCTCCCACAAGCCAAGGGATGCCAAGGAGAGCCAGTCACTCTGGGAAAATGGGAAGAGGCAAGGAAGGATTCCCCATGGAGTCTCAGAGGAACCCATCCCACTGACACCTTGGTCTTTGACATCTGGCCTCCAGGACTATGAGAAAACACATTTCTGCTATTTTGAGCCACCCAGTTTGCGTGACTTTAAGACTGCAACCCTAGGAAATGAATACAGGAAACATCCTGGGCAATTGGTGTGTCAAATAGCTGAAAACCACTGAGCTGAAGTCTCATGTGCCCTCCAGCTTGCAGACCACGAGGCTGCGATGGGTGTCCCTGTAGGTCTGGATGCTTCCCCTTCCCCAAACAACCATCTATCCATTCAGAGTCCTGACGCCAGGGCTCTCCAAAGGAGAACAAAGCCAGTGAGAAGCTTCTGAGGAAGATATTCATAACCTTGTCCCCACTTTGCAGATGGGAAGTGAGGAAACTGGCCTGAAGTTTCCAGGCTGGTAGGTGTCCAAGCAAGGCTTCTCCTTGAGACTGGGGGATGCTCAGCTCTCTGCTATGTCTGGCCCTCCTGTTGTCTCTGGGTCTGATCTGTTACTGTTGCCCAGTCGCTAAGTCATGTCTGACTCTCTGCGATCCCACGGACTTCAGCACGCCAGGCTTCCCTGTCCTTCACCAACTCCCGGAGCTTGTGCAAACTCATGTCCATCGAGTCAATGATGCCATCCAACCATCTCATCCTCTGCCCTCCCCTTCTCCTCCTGCCTTAAATCTTTGCCAGCATCAGGGGCTTTTCCAATGAGTTGGCTCTTGGCATCAGGTGGCCAGAGTATTGGATCTTGAGCTTTAGCACAACTCAGCAAATACCATGAGCACCAGCCACCAAGGTGGGTGTCCAAGAGGCAGAAGTGGACTGTCCATCCACCTGCTTCATACGGCTGTGCGGACTTTCAGGGGCACCTCTGGGCCCGAGCTTTAGGACAGCTGGGCTCTGCCAGCCGTCCCCTTCTAATGCCTCAAGAGTGACACATTCCCCAAAGCCCACTCTCTCCCTGAAACCCTGAGGCAGCCCCAACTCAGACCCCAGGACGGATGTCCCCATCTACTCTGCAGAGGATTCTGACCCCCTCAGTGGTCCGAAGTTGGCCACTGCAGCTGGGGGAAGCCGGATGGACCTGATGTTCTCTAATCCTCAAGTACTTGTAGGGGTTACAGCTTCTGCCTGTGTTCCCAGAAACATTCCAGATTCGGAACTCATCGTCCGGCCTGGGGCAGCGATGCTGTGTCACATGGAGCGGCTCTTGTCGGGGTCCTGGAGCCCAGCAAGGGCTCCTCCTTAGCCCACATCGTGTCACTGTCGGTCACGTGACATGTTGGTCAGCTGACCAACTGAGGATGGCTTTACAGCTCCCGGGCCCTGGTCCTCTGCCAGGCACCCTCCCATGCTGTTTATGGGATTTAATCTTTCTGCAGAACTGCATGCCAACCTCAATTCTGTTTCTCTTCTCTGGTAGCCAAATCTGACTTTTCTCTGGGTCATACCTCCCTCCAGGAATATTGTAAAAATCAGCTGAGCTCAGCAGGCCCAGGCCAGGGCTCTCTGCAAAACAATGCTTTAGAAGCTTCCGGGTTCACCACTTCCTCTTTTAGGGCACGGCAAAGCCAGGCACCTACCACAACCCAGGGTACCTTTCCTCTCATTTAGCCAGACCTAGCAAGCTCCAGGCTGGGATTTGCTAATGTCATCCTGACAACCATCCAGTTAGATAAGCACTGTTATGCTTTACACTTTACAGATGCATACAATAAAAAAAAAAAAAAAGAGGCACAGAGATGTCAAGTAACTTAACCAAGATCACATAGCTAGTAATTTTCAGAAACTGGACTCTGACCCAGATGCTACTGAGAGCTCATAGTCAAAATTTCACAGAGCAGCTTGAAGGCTTGCAACTGTGAGCATGTGGGCATGTAGATGGATGACAGACAGATGTTAGATAAACAGAAAGATGATAGCTAATAGGTAGATAACAGATGACATAACTAGATGATAGATAATATAGATCCCATGGACAGAGGAGCCAGGCAGGCTACAGTCCATGGGATCACCAAGCGTCAGACACGACTGTGCGACTTTCACTTTTCACTTTCAGGTAATATAGACTGCTTGATGGAAAGAAGGATAAAAAGGTAGATAAATGGATAGAGGATAGATGACTGAATAGATAGATGATAGAAGATATAGAAAGATAAATAATAGATGATAAAGAGATGATAGATGATTGATTAATAAATAGGTAACACAGTGACAGAAAGAAGGAAGACAGATCAATGATAGATGATAATAGGTAGATAGGAGATAGACAGATAGATACTCTGTAGATGAAAGAGGCTGGTAAATCTCACAGTCACTAAGTTGTGTCCAACTCTTGCAACTCCTCTGTCCATGGGATTCTCCAGGCAGGAATACTGGAGTGGGCTGCCATGCCCTTCTCCAGGGGATCTTCCCCACCCAGGGATGGAACCCAGGTCTCCGGCATTGTGGGCAGATTCTTCACCAGCTGAGCCACCAGGCAAGCCCAAAATCTCACAGGAAACAGGTATAATTTGCTATATGTATGTTATTACATTTTTTTTTTCTAACAGCCTTTTAAAATTCCACACAGGCACCCAGACTCACAAGGGCCTCCTCCAGAGGATGAAATAAACGCCCAGAGGAATCAAGCATGTCAAACAGGATCTTCCACCCAGAGGCTGAGAGCTGACCTGTCCCCGAGACCTGCCCTGGGGAAGGGGTGGCTTCCTCGGGCAGTGAGTCGGGAGTGGGGTGGGCATGGGGGATTCGAGCCTTCTTGTTGGAAGTGAGCCTGAGGAAGTGGACAGGAGCCGCCCTTGAGACGCCACCTCAAGTCTTCAGGACCCAGACGCTGGGAGTGAGGCCTCACCCTCAGGAGCCTGTGGGCTGCGATCGTCTCAGTCTCCGAGGGAGATGTGGGGACCTGGGGCCTTTCTGGTGCCGAGTTCCCACTTGCCACCCCCGGGGGACTGCAATTGGGAGAGGCTGCCCGGGCGGGGGGCAGGGGAGTCCCTGCCCCCAGGGGTTCAGCTCTGCCCCCCCACCCCCACCAGAGGCAACCTCTTGTGCCTCAGTTTCCCTTGCCTGTACAACGAAGAACTTAACAGCAACAGAGTCACAGAGTGGCTGGGCCAGTCAGCGAGTTTCCATACGAAAGGTGGTGGGTGGAAGCCGACCTTTGACTCCCCCGCCCCATATGACAATGGCTTTGCCACGGCAGTTACTAAAGTCAGACCCTGGGTTTGTCTTGGCCTGACCTGTTTCCATTTTCAATTGAAAAATTGAATTTGGATAGACTTCAGCCTGACTGGTCTGCTCCCTGGACCTCGGCCGGCTAGCTCTGAGTAACTGCAGACAGGGTGGGGTCACCGGGGTTGGGCTGTTGGATATTTTACCCGCCTCCTGTGGTTTTGGGCAGCCTGCTCGGTGACGGGCAGCGGCATTAAGACTGGACTTTGCCGGAGGGCATTTGGGTCACTCTGGGTGTTGCTGGAAAGGCCTGCTCTCAGACACACTGGGTCATCAGCTGTTTAGGGGCTGCCTTTTTTTTTGACCAGTAACCTCTCAGCCATTCCAAGTCTGGGTGACCACCAGCTCCAATGACTGTTGCTCTGTGGTGTGGGGTTGCCCCTTCCATCCAAGCAAAGGCCTGGTGGCTCAGATGGTCAAGAATCTGCCTGCAATGCTGGAGACCCGGGTTTGATCCCTGGGCCGGGAAGATCCCCTGGAGAAGAGAATGGCAATCCACTCCAGTATTCCTGCCTGGAGAATCCCATGGACAGAGGAGCTTGGTGGGCTACAGTCCATGGGGTCGCAAAGAGCCAGACACGACTGAGTGACTTTCACTTTTCCATCCGGAAGTCATGGACTTCTCCTTCGTGACTGTCTCTGTGCTTCCCTGGCCATAAGGCCCTTCTCCAGCCCCCTGACACCTCACTCACCAGAGCTCTGGGGAATGCAGAGGTGGGGAACCCCAGCCAGCCATGTCCCTGCCCCAACCATATTTCCTGCCAACCCCTCACCTTGAGGTATCTTCCCCTGGAGGGATTTCGTCAGCAATGAATGTTGCTCAGTTGTGTCCAGCTCTTTGTGACCCCATGGACTATATAGTCCATGGAATTCTCCAGGCCAGAATACTGGAGTGGGTAGCATATCTCTTCTCCAGGGGATCTTCCCAACCCAGGGGTCAAGCCCAGGTCTCCCACATTGCAGGAGGATTCTTTACCAGCTGAGCTACCAGGGAAGCCCAAGAATACTGGAGTGGGTAGCCTGTCCCTTCTCCAGCGGATCTTCCCAACCCAGGAACTGAACCAGGGTCTCCTGCATTGCAGGTGGATTCTTTACCAACTGAGCTGTCAGGGAAACCCAGAGCTACCCTCAAACACCATCCCCAAAGTGGGCTGACTGGGGTTTATCCCTTCACGACCGCTCCAGATGGTTCCCTCTGCCTATGACACCAGGCTAGGTTGAACACTGAAAATTCTGTGAATCTAAAATTTCAATGAGGCGACTTCCCTGCTGGTCCAGTGATTAAGAATCTGCCTTCCAAAGCAGGAGACGCAAGCTTGATCAATCCCTGGTTGGGGGCCTAAGATCCCACATGCCTAGGGATGACTAAGACTCCAGAGCCTGGGTGCAGCAATCAGACAGAAGCCCTGGAGCCACAGCGAAAGAGCTCGCATGCCTTAACTAAGACCTGATGCAGCCAAATAAATAAATATTAAAAAAAAAAAACCACTTGAATAAGAGTGTTTATCTTGGGGCACAAAGTTGTGCATACGTGTTGGGGGCTTTTTATTGTTTTTTTCTTCCTTTCTTTTCCTTTTCCATTATGGTTTATCACAGGCTGTTGAATATTGTTCCCCGTGCTGTATGTAGGACCTTGTTGTTTATCCATCCTATATACAATAGTTTACATCTATGAATCCCAAACTCCTAGTCCTTCCCCACCCCACCCACCCCACTGCCCCTTCCTCTTGGCAACCACCAGTCTGTTCTCTGTGTCGTGAGTGAGTATGTTTCTGTTTTGTATTTAGGTTCATTTGTGTCATATTTTAGATTCTACATATAAGTGATATCATACGGTATTTGTCTTTCTCTTTCTGACTTACTTCATTTAGTATGATAATCTCTAGTTGCATCCATGTTGCTGCAAGTGGATAGGTATTGGATAGATAGATAGTGCATGTTTTTTTCTTTTTATGGCTGAGCAGTATTCCGTTGTGTATACGTCCCACATCTTCTTTATCCATTCATCTGCTGATGGACGTTTAGGTGGCTTCCACGTCTTGGCTGTTGTGAACAGTGTTGCTGTGAACATAGAGGGTCATGTATCTTTTAGAATTATAGTTTTGTCTGGATATATACCCAGGAGTGGGATTGCTGGATCATACAGCAATTCTATTTTTAGCTTTCTGAGGAACTTTCATACTGTTTTCCACAGCGGCTGCACCAACTTACATTCCCACCAACAGTGTAGGAGGGTTCCCTTTGCTCCACACTCTCTCCAGCAATTGTTACTTGTAAACTTTTTAATGTCTGACCAGTGTGGGATGATACCTCACGTCATTCTGATTTGCATTTCTCTAATAATTAGTGATGAGCATCTTTTCATGTGCCTACAGGCCATCTGTTTGAGCAAGCTCCGGGAGTTGGTGATGGGCAAGGAAGCCTGGCATGCTGCAGTCCATGGGGTTGCAAAGAGCAGGACCTGACCTACTGACTGAACTGAACTGAACTGGCCATCTGTCTGTCTTCTTTGGAGATACGTCTATTATGGTCTTCTGCCCATTTTTCAATTGGGTTGTTGTTTTTTGATGTTGTTGATGAGTTGTATGAGCTGTTGTTATATTTTGGAGATTGCATCCCAGCCCTTGTCAGTTGCATCATTTGCAAATATTTGCTCCCATTGGGCAGGTTGTCTTTTTGTTTGTTTTTGCTTTTAATGATTTCCTTGCTGTGCAAAAGGGGACTTTCTATTTATTTAAAAATTTTTATCTAGGGCAAGAAGCCCTTAGACATACCAACCCAGAGTCCTGAATGATGAGAAGCTAGACAGCCTTCAGACCATACAGAGACTGAAGACTTCCAGGACTAAACCAGTCAATGGTTTTCTAGTGGACTGAGCTGCCAGCAGCCCCCTGAGGTGAGTGGGTTATGATCCGTGCTGGAGGGGGCAGTTCCAAAGCCCCCACACTATACATCTTGTCAGTGATGTGGGAATGATGCCATGCTGGGCTGTTGGCATCAGATGCAAACAGAGTTAATAACTCTGCAAAAAGTCACCAGACAGTTTA